GATTTTAAGGTATTGTGCTTTTAGTGGTAGGTGATGTTCCCGTCGACAGCGAGGCGTCTATGGTGACTTCGTCAATCTCAAGGATTTATCAGATCAGTCTTTAAAGATGCTCACAGGGATTACGTTCATGTGTTCATAAGTGTGAATGTGCTACATTGTATCTGTGTTGTACTGTGTAATCGAAAAAAAGATCAAGTTAAAACAGGCCATATGGAGCTCTGAACAAACATGGAGGCAACGACGAGGGACTAGGGAGCACATAAAACAACTCCAAAAGTTGCTAGAGATGATGATTGTTGATATAGTTCTTATTAGAAAAAATAATAAATTATCATATTATTGCAAATATTAACTTATATTATGAACACCATGATCATCATAAAATAAATTAATTTTTAAATTTAATAAAAAGGATAAAACATAACTAAACAAATATATGACATTTTATCATTGTTTGTCACATGTTTAATAGTTTTTTCTCCCGTTGCAACGCACGGGCATATTTACTGGTGAATATATAATTCCTTATTTGTTCTATTTTGTTGTGTTGTTGTAATACTTGGATGCTTGCCTGCCGTGCTGTCTCAATGTTTGCAAGCGCAAACGGAATTTCGCCTATGAGCAGTGCTCGGCAAAAATTGTCATGGCAACATGCATTGCTTGACGCTAGCTTCCCAAAGTCCCAACGCCACTAGAGAAGCAGAGGACCTTTCAACGTTAGCATTAGCATGCAGTGCGCGGACTCGCAGCCATGCTCAATAATGTCACCGCACCGGGTCACCGTGACGAGCGAGACCAGGATAGCCAGGAGGCAAAGAGCCCCGGCGCTTGTACGGCCACAGCTCACAGGTGAAGGAAGGACAGAAAGGAAGCAGCACCGCCAGGTGAGAATTATCAAGGAAGAGGCACTCGCAACGAGGTAACCGGTTGGGCCTTGGCTGCAAGTTTGGATCTCCCAAACGGGCCATGGTGATTATTAATGAAATTCGATTCCTAATACCTTTTTTTTAAGCAGCGACAAACCAGGTAATACTATACCAACATGGGGAACATATCCGGTGCTCCCACCCAAATGTGTCTGAAAAATTTGAGACGCAACAAAAATCTGTAGAGATGAAAAAAGTGAAATGAGCACTTGAATAGTTGTGGATTTCAGACCATAAACAGTACGATCCACTACTACTCAAGTGACAATTCACTTTTTTGCATCTCAAAATTTACATAAATATAAAACTTGGCTTGATTCGTATTTCAATTTGGATTTTTTAGTACATTTGGATGAGGTTTTTTCAATGTTATCCTAACGCTAACTTGTAAACAGTCGCTCGCTTATTGTCTAGGCATTATTCGGGCAAAACGGCAAAAAAAAAAGGGCAAGGTGGTCCTATAAAAATGACAAACGGCTGATTAAACGAAAATGGCATACCGCCGTGTAAAGTTTAAACGGTGTGTAAATGGACTAAACTACTGTTTAGGCGAATGTCAGTTTTTTTTGAGTTAAATGCACCGTAGGTCTATTAACTTTTTGTGGTGTGTCATCTAGGTTCATCAACTTTTAAACTGTATTTTTTGGGTTCATTAACTTTTGATGGTGTGTCATTCAGGTCCATCAACTTTCAAATTGCATTTTTTGATCCATTAACTTTTGGTGGTGTGTCATTCAGGTCCATCAACTTTTAAATTGCATTTTTTGGTACCTAAACTTTTTAACTGGTTCACCGTAGGTTCATACCCTTTCGTTTAGCGAATAGATCACCATCCAGAGATAATCTTTAATACGAAGAACCTGATGGGATCACTATCTAGGATTTCTCGAGCGACGGCTCGACGAGGAATAAACTCTACAATAAAATTCAGTCTAATCTACCTGGTACAAGGCCGAAGGCCACAGGTATAGGCACGCAAGCCACCGGACCCAAACAAAACTCGGACTCTACCAGCCCAACTAGACCGATTGACCCTAAGTCCCTGATTCGGCTAACATGCATGGCACGTCCAAACACAGCTGTAAGGAAAATGGACCATATGCCCATTTACTTTAGATTTTGATGTTTGATGACTAACAAAACTAAATTGGACTAATGAATTTATAAGTGATTGTTTTGTAATTCAATAGGGTACAAGACGTGACTTGGTCGAAGGCGCCACGATGATCAACACCTTAAGCAAGACCCTAGAAGCACAAGAGAGGATCCAAGATATCAAGCAAAGTATAAGCACGAAGATAGAAACCAAGCCGGACACAAGATCGCAAAGAAACGAGCTTCACAGAGGTGACCGGACGCGGCCCTTATAGCGACCGGACGCGTCTGATCAAGATGCTCGGCAACAGCAGGCGTCATCAGCAGTGACCGGACGCTGAGGACTAAAAGTGACCGGACGCGACGATACCACTGTTCATCATCTCGGCAACACATTTAGCACTGACCGAACGCTGACGGATAATCGATCGGACGCAGGAACTGCAGCGTCCGATCGAGTCCAAAGAGGTTCCCGAGTGGCGACAGCGCGACCGGACACGTCTGATCAACAGTGACCGGACTCGGCAGTGCGTCCGATCAACGCGCACGCTCTAATGGTCGGGACGACCGGACGTGTCCGATAAGGACGACAGCAGCGTCCGATCAGTAGCAGAAAGCTGGTTTTCGCCCCCAACGACTACTTTCTCTACTACTTTCTCTACGAGGCTTATAAATAGACCCCTCAAACGGATAATCTCCACTTACATAGTGCTTAGTGATTCATTAGATGATTATCGTAGGTGCTTTTGTGAAGTGCTTAGATTGATTAGACCACTGCTTATGTGCTTGCTCTAGGCTTAGGCCTAGTGTTTAATGAGGTTTGCACACTTCTTACCACTTGGTGCTTGCGCGCACCATTGTTGTACATCGGAGGGGCTTGTAGTCTTGCGAGATCACACCAACCGCGTTTGTGGTGTGGCCGCCACCGTGTACCGAAGGGAACAAGGCCCGCGGCGGTTCGGCCGGAAGCTTGATAGTGAAGACGGCGGGTAGTGGTTCGGGAGAGTCTTGCCGGAAGGCATACCGGAGACCCACTTGCGCGTGGGGAAGGCCCGGGGCTATCCACGAAGTTATCTAACCAGGAGCTTGGCCCTTGCGAGTGATTCCTTGAGAGGGGCTCCAACGAGAACTAGGAGAAAGCTTGCGCGCTTCTCGATACCTCTGTAAAAATACCAGAGTCGTCGACGGGAGTTTACATATCTCTACTTATTCTTTAGCTTCCACATTTACATTGTTTGCATAACTCCTTTTGCGGTAGAGATAGCAACACACTAGCAGAACCGTAGTTGCACATTTAGATAGTTTATCTTTTATATAGGTTTTGCTAAGCGTAAAAAAGAGATCATAATTTAAAGTTAGACTTTTAAGTTGCCTAATTCACCCCCTCTTAGGCGTCTCGGTCCCCTTTCAGCCACCAATTTGATTCATGTACACAGGTGCACGCAGGCACTAAAAGCTAGATGCTGATAGGAAACTAATGCATGAAAATAATAAAATACTACGGTAAGGATGCTAATCACGTTGGGAAAATTTCATTGATGATCTCCACCTCTTGAGAATTAGTACTGATGTATTGGCTTCATTTTCTCCTCATTTTCACGCAATAATAAGGTACCTTTATAAAATATCTTTGATGACAGTGCAGCAGTTGTAAATTTCTTCATGTCCATAATATATTTATCCTTAAAAATAATAGTTCCAAATTTAAGACCAGAGAATATTAACGAATTACCAGCTGCTACATTTGAATTATTGCTAGACAAGTCTCCATAAAGATCTTGAGGAGCTATGGATTCATCACCTACTCCACGGTGGCTGCTTATTTGACGTGTCATGTCAGATCTATTCGCTAAACGAAGGGGTATGGACCTACAGTGAACCAGTTAAAAAGATTTAGGACCTAAAGATGTTATTTAAAAGTTGACGGACCTGGATGACACTTCACCAAAAGTTAATAAACCCAGAAATACGGTTTAAAAGTTGATGGACTTAGATGACACATCACCAAAAGTTAATGGACCAAAAAATACAGTTTAAAAGTTAATATATCTAGATGACACACCACCAAAAGTTAATTGATCTACGGTGTATTTAACTTTTTTTTTTCAAATTGGTGCACGGGAGCATGGGAAGGACTGCGAGCACCGAAAATGTTCTGCTAGGGGCAGGACAGGAGGTGCGACAGTTTAGGACTCACATAAGAAAGGGGGTCTCGGAGACTCGGACCTCAGGTATGCAGTATCTTGTGTGTGTGTTGCCGCACTACAGCTGAAGCCTACGTGTCCAGCCATGTAGCCATGATGCAACCACTGCGAAACATTGCATTGAGCAACAGGTCACGTGGATCTATCTCGGTGCTGCATCCTTATCAAGGCAATCCATCATCGTGGATTGCTGGCCATAGGCCATGTCGATGGAATCACGCTTGTCACTCAAAAACGATCACTCATCGCCTTGCTTGAGAGCTTGTCGATGCCCATACATGATTGTGCTTTTCTTCCCATCCCTCCTTACTCCCAGTGCTTAACCGTTTATTTTTTTTAGTTAAAAACTCTATATCCCATAGCTTATTTGATCGGCGTGTTAGATTATTATTAGGGGTTTAAACTTTTAACTCTAATATTGTAGCATTGACAACACAAAAGTCATTGTATCTAATATATGGACAATATTGTAACAAGTGGTGAGAGTTTTCACAAAGCAATTTGTTTTGAAGGTACCGTAGCTGTGACTGTATTGCTATCAAAGCTACGGTACCTTCAAAGGTAATTCTCAGACCCCTCGTGCGCACGCGTGGGTACACCTTTTTTTTTTGAGATAATACATCCAGGCCGGGTTCCTCCCCCCAGTTTACTCTTTAAAAAACTATCACAGCTACAGTCACGAGGTTTCTACCCCGTTGATATATATGTACAAATGAATTGCGGGAAAGAAATTACAAAGGGCGAGAGTTGCAAAAGAAATCAAAATCTCGCCTGGTTAGTTTGACGTAGAACACTCTGCCGTATCAGTCTTGATGACTCTGGTGTTGTAAGAACCACACAAGGCACATTTGTGGTAGAGCCAATGGAATCGTGACCTACCTTTTCTCTCACAGTCGTTACAAAGTATATCCTGGAACAGTCACGCAACGATGGTAAATATACGTGAGGTATGTGAAAGAATGAAACTGGGATTAGGAGAGTGGTTTACCTGGCACCGGTCCCGGTATTCCTCCGGAAGCTGTTCTGCAGCCAGCAAACCATCAAGCATGCCAAAATACACCTTCAGAAATGAAACATCGCATTAGCTATTTACTGGACTGGAGAAAAGGGCAAACGGCTATACGACTTAATATCATCAAGAACTGTGAGCAGAATAGGATGTCCAAAACTTAAATGAAGTATAATTTGGAATGTACCGAGTATTTATTTGTTTCAAAACGAAATACTTGAAACCTACAGGGTCCTTGGGCATCCCACAGATTAATTTGGAGAAGAGAGCACAAGAATAGTATGCCTATGGACTATAAATGGCAGAGCAAACCGAAACGGTGAATGCAAAATAAGTCTTTATGCTTAAGCAGCATAGTTTACCGTCATATCTCCCAAGGATTTGCAGCAGATTGGACAAGTGTAGTGGGTACAAGTATATGCCTGAAATATTATAATCAAATCTATTAGAACAGCACTTACCCCATCCATAATGGCAAATGAGAATGCTACCAGATTGTCATACCTGAAAGCAAGCCGAATGCATGAAGTGGCCACAAGGAAGACCTTTAACTGGTGCACTTGATGTGAATAAAAAGTCACAGCAGATCGGACAGTTCATCTCTAACATCTTTTCCCGGCATTTGTGTTCTATCATCTTTATGCCAAGGCAACAATTGCACTTCATGCAATGAAAAAAATCAGTGCCCAATCCGCTCCCAAGACGGCACAAGTTGCAAAAGGGACAATGGTAGACACTCCTGAGAAACAACCCAGAATTAGGAGTGCAAAATATCACAAAGATGAACCACATCAAACAATAATTTAACTTCAAGTGATAATAAAGCAATGAAGTAAACACACGAGGCACATAACACATTAGATCCTCACAGCTTGCTACTTTAGTGGCTTGAACTTTTGCATGAAGCTGAAGTTAGAGAAGAATATAGCACAGGGCAATTTTACTGATCATAAGTAGAATATGACGATAGGATGATAATAAAATAAGCATCCATATATTGGATGCTAAGAAATTAAATCATCATTATTTCAAAGGATAATGCGGAAACTGAACCACCATGCATTTATGGCAGAGAAATTTGTCCACCCTACAAAGACGAGGATTGTATATAGTGCAGAACAAAATAAAATGTAGATCTGCACAGTATTACCTTTCATCATCGAAGAACTTGCATATGCTACAATAATACTTTGCCATGGACAGTCCATTGCAAGAAGGGGATTGGCAATTTGGACCGACCGGTTGAACATTCAGACATAGCATGCACATCATCTCCACCACTGATTTCCTACAAATAGCAGCTCCACAAAGTAAGCAAAGTATAATTGTTTCTTTTTTCTTTGTAACAGATTTCTAAGTTCTAACAATCAGCACGTCATATGACAGAAAAGGTTGTCCAAGTATACAAATACAAGTATGTTCTTTTGTCCTTATTATGCAAAACTGATATACTAAGAGCCAAGTATCCCACTGGAAATAAAAGCTCCAATTAGAAAGTTCAATGACAGAAAAACAATTCATTTCACAAGGGAGGCACAGGTCCATAGCACCACCACAAACAGCTATTTCCAAATAAAACGTCATGCTTAATTGATATTGGTAGTTCGATGTTGAAATGAAATCCTACTAGCATAAGAGGTGCATAAGCATCCCTAAAAAAAAAAGGGCGTACCCAGTGCGGAGAGCTCCCGCTCTGTGCGGGGTCTGGGGAAGGGTGTTAGTGGCAAGCCTTACCCTCGCCTGTGCAATGCGAGGAGACCGCGACTCGAACCCAGGACCTTCCGGTCACAGGCGGTAAGACTCTACCGCTTGCACCAAGCCCGCCCTTCTGTGCATAAGCATCCCTCAGAAGGAAAAATGTGGACAGTAAAATAAATGGTTGTGTTGAAGATACCTGTCCATTGTATGGTCACTAACTTTATCATGACAGAATCTGCATGTGAATAGCTTATTGCAGCATGCAGCAACAAGCTTGCAGTTTCGTTTATAATGCTCACAGCCAAATATTTGTTTCTCTGGGTCTCGATACGAAGGAACACATCCAGGTCGTCGTGTACATCCATTATGTCCTTCGACGTTTGGTTGTGGTGATTTCTGCTGAGCAGCTATCCAACGGCTGAAATTTACAAAATTAGAAATATATATAATACAGACTTATTTTCTGTATTCTTAGGGGGAGATAATAGTCAACTTATTTACTTTATTTTTAAATAACAAACCTGGTCATGAGATTTTGTATCAGATAGGCCTTCCTCCTTGGATCAAGAGTAGAATCTCGAGAGACCTTTCGAATCTCAGCCTCGAGCTCACTCTGGTTCATTCGGAAGATGTCCTTCCAACCAGGCCTAAACATCTGATCATTTTGTTCAAAATTCTCCTGAAAATGATTTTCTACAAGGCCAAAGTAAAATATCTCAGTGACATAGAAATCCCATCCACCATTCTAGAGGAGAGGAAAACCAACTGAACAAACCTTCTGAAAGAGTAGAAGCCTTGTCTGATGGGTCAGATGAAGTTGAAGGTCCCTTCCACCATTCATTTAGCCATTCATCGAACATCGTATTTTTCGTTGCTTGCTTCCATGTATCCAGCATCATGTTCTGTTCCTCTAGACTAAGTGCTGATGTAACCCAAGGTAACATTGACTGCAGAACCTCAGCACCAGTAGTTCCAATTATACGCCCGATAATCTTATCCTGCTCATCTACAGAAAAATGTTTATCGAACAGTGGCCACAATTCAAGTTCTTCTCTGTGAACGTGATTTGACAATGTGACATGGATAGACTTGCATAATCCTTGAAGCTTTGTCAAAAGTTCATTACGCTTTTTAGCCCAATCGATCTCATTATTTGAAATATCATTTGTTCCAGCTTCAACATCAAGAGGATGGCTCAAACCATCATGTAGTTGAGAAAGTTCAGATAGGACAATGGATATATCTTGGAACAATTCTTCTTCCTGCTTGTGATCAAGAGTGTATGAATGACTAACATTGTGCAATGTCTCCTTTGATTCAAGAGCAGGAAATACAATCTCATCTTCAGCATTGCTGTGTGCTCTATATAGACCCCACAGTAAACGAAACCTTCCGATAAATTGGCGAAGGCAAGATTCATTCCCGTCAATAAGCTTTCCAGACTCCACATCCAAAAACTCTAAATCCTTACGAATTGCCTTGTGGAATTTGAATATGGTATCAATTGGCTTCGAAATGTTATCTGGGCCAGATAATACTGCATCTGTCTCCCATGAAAAAAGGCTTGAATATAATGAAGGTGCAGAATTATTGTAAGGCAGAGAGCGAAAGGATTTTGCAGGGGTAGATGAATTAACACCAAGGTAGCTACTTTCTACTCTTAACCTGGGAATGTAGCAGGGTCTGTTGTTACATGGCGAGGCTTCAGTATCCGCATTTTGTGAGCAGTGACTTCTGTTAATATTAGTGCTAGATTCTCCATGACTTGCTCGCTTAACTGGTTTCGAAAAAGCTCCATCGCTACTTACATAACATGGACAGAATGACTGGCATGTTTTGGAACCATTTCCATCTGATGCACAGCCCACCGCTCCTGATGTGCATATGAACTTTCCAGGGTTGGATGTGTCCTCCAGACGACCTTTGCATGCCCAGCCGGAGAGAAGGGTAACCAATGCAGTTTCAGAGGAAGGTGCTGCGATGCATTCAATAAATATAAAAATTAGGAAAGCTATGTGAAGCTGTTGTATTATTCAAGAGAGGTAGAAACATAACAGAGACAACCTGCTAATCGCATATTCTGAAGAAAAGACACTGCCTCTGCATCATTCAGTTTCACTACAAACCATGGTAGAACACATTCCAACAGCTTTAGTGGCATGACACATAGACTCTGATATAAAAGTTCCCTCTGTTTCTCTGGTGAGAACTTTATCCTAGCTTTAGGAAGTACCTGAGTAATAAAGGTAAACAAGACCTGATGATCTGTTGGGCAAGTAGGGTTAACATTCTGACTGATAGGACAGCAGTCCCAGCTTCTTTAGTACTAAACTAACCTTTATTTCCTCATCATTGAAGTGACTCTCAATTTTCTGCATTATTTCGTCAGCTTGTGAACATAACTCAGAATGAAAATCAACTACAGTTGACTTGGCTCCTGTTATTTGAATTTGTTCAATTAAACTCCTAAATTCATTTAACCGCTGTTCTTCTTCAGCATGCTCCTGTACAAAAGATAATTCACCATCCACTGCAGGGAATATAACTTGATCCTCGGCAATGCTGCAGACCAACAAAAATCAACTGATGAAACTAAGAAATCAAGATAATAGACTTCACCGGAGAGCACAAAAAAAACATAGTTGGATATAAAACATCAAGTGTTTGACCAAAACAATAATCTATATTATAGAGAAGCAAAATAAAGAATATTTTCTAGCATATGGCTAGTATTTCTACCTCTTAACTGTGGCACCTGGTGCGTCTAAAGCATCTATCAGAACATTAACAATTTGTTGTCACAATACATGTAATATAATGTGCAGCCGAATAAGTATCTGCAAATCTAACACGATAAAAGAATATTCACATGAGTTGAGATTCGAAGCCTCATACCTGTGGAAAATGCACACATCTGCAATAAATTGCAGCCTCATATTAAAGCCTGCTATGTCAGAAAAATCTCCAGACTGCTGTATTCTTTTCGTCTCGCCTGCTATATCCCTCAGTTCTCTCCGAATAGCATTGTGCCAATACAGAATTTCATCAATTGGATGTGTGACAAGCTGACTAGATTCTGTGGACTTCCTCTTTCCAATTTTGGAGTGTTCAAGTGAACATACATGTTTATCTATTCGACCAGAGCTAGACTCACATGTAGAACTGCTTTCTGAATAAGGATCACTAATACCTTGTGCTATTGTTCTGAATGATTTCCCTCCAAACCACGTGAAAACAATCTTCACAAAGTAAAAAAACTAAATTAAGTGAGAAACACCAATAATTTTACAAATGCAAAGTTAAGATGTGTGATGCCATAATCATGCGGACCTCTTGGAGGAGTTTTTCTCCAGGAACTATTTTACTTAGGCAGTCAAGAATATCTTGATTCTCATCAGTTGAAACAGAAGAAGATACCCATGGAAGGAATTTTGCCATCATATTTATAGGGATACTACATAAGAACTGCCAGACCAGATCTGCTTGCTCTTCGTGTGAAAACTTCTTGATGAGCAACGGGAAGACCTGCAAAGTTTTCGGAAGATTAGGCCCGTTATATGCCCTGCGTCCCAGCTGCTACCACTAAGGATGCAAATTGTGAAGTTACTACAGATTCATCATGTTTAGCGTGTTGCTCAGAAAATGTCTAGAACTACATATGGGAGTATAACTATAAAATTATGGATGTTTTTTCCTCTCAAACGTGTAGAAGAACCATCAACCACGTGTCATGCATCGAATAGAGGAACCGGTTCAATTGCAAAAATACTATAGATGTGACAGAGAACACTAAAAGATTGACAGATATTCCTTATTCCTTATTAAACTAATTGAGCATGCCAACATGTCTCATACTCATACAACCACTTGATAGAGAAACTGAAGGCCTGCGAGCTATATTTCATTATTTCTCAAATTACATTCAAATGGCAGGACAAATTAAGCAGGGAAACAGGAATACCTGTTCTTCTTCCTTGGACATGTGTTGGGTAACAAACGTCCGAATTGCTCCAGTACAGGATGCAAGTTCCCTCCGAATAGCATCATCATTCTGCACATCCAACTGTAGCAGAGTGAAGAGATGTGCGAAGAGATCATTTTCTCCTTTGTGTTCAAGAGAATATGTCCCTGCGACATTTTTCACTCGAATATCAAGTGCTGGAAAAATAACCTGCAATCATCAAAAGAAAAGTCTTATACCACAAATGTTGTGTGCATCACGACGGGCTTACAGTTGGCCAATAAATTTCCAGAAATACACCGATCTATGGGCATTAAAATCAGCAATTAATCTATGATAAAAACATGCAAGGTCCATGCTTTGAACAGATGGTATAATAGGCCCAGCATTTCCCTGTATGGCCATATGAAACAGGAACAGTAGTTGTAATTGCACATAGGAAGTTAGGAACATATTTGTTTGTAACAATTGCACTGTGTGGATTGCAACCTTCATTTGATCCAAACACCAAGATTCTAACAGGAAGGAGTTGTTTCTTAGAAAATAAATAAATAATGTACTCCACTGTAAACAATTCGCAGTAGCCATGCTACTCTAACAAGCACCATGAAACATGTAATTGGAGATGAAACCCCAAGACTAAGGTGCTGTCAAGGTTGACAGTTTACTTTAAGACATCAGAGTGACAGTAAAATCCAGCAAATCGACACTGATGTCACACACCAGCTAATTGTTTACAGTCACATGGCCTGTACACGTACACACATATCATACTGCAATTGAAAATAATCAAATCGCCCAGCTAACTAGCTGCACTTGAAAACTCCTTCCGTTTTCAGATCATGTCGACGCAACCGCAATTCAGCCCAAACCCAAGGCAGATCTTCTGAGCCTAAGCGACAATTCCGCAACCCTGAACACTTTCCCCCGCCGCAATCACCACAATTCCGCTGGCTCATATGCACGAGGGGCATTCGTAGAAACCACAATCCCAGTACGAAACGACTGCGAAACAAAAATGCGACGAGGAACAGCAGAATCCCCGGCGGCGCGGGCGCGCCGCACTACGTACCGCGTCCTCGGCGTCGCAGTGGTGCCTGTAGACGGTGAAAAGGAACCTGCAGCGCGCCTCGAGCGCGGCCACGTCCCCGCCCGCGCGCCCCGTGGCGAGCCGCACCGCCGCGGCGTGCATCCGCTCCAGCTCCGCGCGGATCGCCTTGTGGAAGTAGACGAAGATGAGCACGGGCGCCTCGGCCGCCGACCCTCCCGCGCCACCCTCGGACAGCGGGGGTGGGGACCGCGGGATCGCCGCGGCAATCGTGCCCTCTCCGGCCATCGGCGTCGCCATGCTCCGGCTGCGGCTGCGGTGCGCCTGCGCGGTGGCTCCGTGTGTGCTCTGTCTGCTGCGCGTCCGGCTCTGCGCTCGGTTGGCTATTTTTTTTAGCTTTTTTTTTTTTACCGGTTGATTTGTTGTTTTCCGTTCTGTGGGCTGCTTTATGCTCGCGGCCAATCAGCAACGGAACGGGACGGCGCGTGGTGGCGCCGTGGTCTGTGGACTCTGCGCCTGCGCCTGCGCCTGCGCCTGCGCGGTGGGTCGTGGCCTCGTGGGTGCCTGAGTGCCTGACTGCCTGTGCCTCCGCTTTCTCACCTTGTAGTGGGATTAGCGCCTAAGTGGGATTGCATTTAAGGTAGAAGAGCATGTTTGACTTGTCTAGGTTGGGAAGGCACGTTGGACGTGGTACGAATTAGTTTTATTTACAAAATTTATACCTATTGGTTTCAAAATAGTGTACGTCTCGTTTGGTGAGAACTCAAAAATAATTGAATTTGACTAAATATATTAAAAAACTATTATTAATTGTGTATAATAGTATCGTTACATTCATAGATATATTTTTATAATAAACTTATTTCTATTTTGGAATAAAGGGAATACTTTGTATCTAAATCTAATCTAATATTAATGAGTAAAGACTTTTTCCCTCTATCCGTCTCTATCTATGACTCACTCCTCTCGTCTCTCACTCTCATCTTCCCCTCGCTCTCTACTCCGTCCGATAGTCTCCTACTCACTCTCACTTTTCTCTTCATCTCTACCATATCAGTCTCTTACTCACTCTCATCCTTCCCACACTCTTCGTATCCTTTCCTCACTCTCTGCTCCGATCCATCAATCTTTTACTCACTCTATCATCTTGTCCCTTACTTTCACTCTTCTCATTTTGAACTTAGGTCCGGAAGTCTCTTAGGGTGTGTTTGGTTGGGTGGGCAACCCCTAGCCTGGCTCCCTAGAGCCAATTTTGGCCTGTTTGGTTGCCTAGAAGTGGTCTGGAGCCTGGCTAGGGCTGACCATCCGTACTGTTATAGCCTGGCTAGGAGCATGGAAGTAGGCCCGAACCAGCCCCGTGCTCCTTTCTTGTCACTGCCCCGCCCCTCACCTACCAGCTACCGGACGCGAAGGAGGACGACGCGGAGGTCCTGAGCGGCGGCGGAAGTCCCTGCTTATCATCCCCTGCTCGTAGAGCGGTCCACGAGAACGGCGAGCCGCGGCCTTCTTCTTGCTGCTAGTGGCCTCCACCTCCCTGTGCTGAGCGGCGGCGTGCCTGCTCGCCGCCACGGAGAGGGGCGCGCGCCAAGGAGGCCGCCGTCGAGGTCGTGCTCGTGCGCGGCGAGGGGAAGGGCAAGGCCGGGCTGTTGCAGGTGAACGACGATGCCGAGATGGCCAGCCTCGCATCCGTCTTCCCCACCCACTTCCACGGCCACCTCGCCTCCGCCCGCGGCCGCTGGAAGAAACAACAACAGTAGTCGTCCGGGTAATGGCCATCCTCGCCGCCGCCTCCATGGCCTCCCTCCGCCCGTGGCCACCGACGCACCTGTTCGAAGATTCGAGCTGAGGCCGTAGCTGTCCACGGAGATTGAAGGTGCAAGCGGTCCAGCCACCCCGCTTGGAGCGAAGGGCGGGGTGGCCGTGGAGGTCGACGAAGCCTTCCTTGGTGTACTCCCCTCCTCCTCCCTCGCCATTCTCCATGGATGAACGCTGCAGCTGGCTCAAGGCCAGAGGCCAATGGCAACGGTGATGCAGCACACATGTTTGATGGATTGCTTCAAAGGGGGTAACTTACCTCCTCAAAGAGGAGGTGATTCTATTCAAGCAAAACCAGCTAACCAAAAGCACCAAAACTTAGCCAGGCTAAAGCAATCACTCTAACCAAACAAGTGGCGGTCGGCTTGTTCTAACTTGGCTAAGTCTAGCCTGGCTCAGAAAGCTAGCCAGGCTGGAATTAAACACGAACCAAACACACCCTTACTCACTCTCGCCCTTCCCTCACTCTTTGCGTCCTTCTCTCATCCTGTGCAAGATGTCCGCGCAAGTCCCAAAGACGACGGCGGTGAGGATTCATGCCTCGCCTAGATCTGCGTAAGGCCAAAGAAGGCGTGCGGACAGCGCCGGGATGGCTAGGCCGTGGTGTTATGTGGAAGGGCTCCTGCGAGGGTGCGCACGCTCAGTGCCTGCAGTCATGGTCGCACAAGAGATGTGCGAGTTCCTTTGTTGCCTTGAGGTCGCCATTGTCTCACCTAGCCACAGGGCCGACATGCCCTTCTCTCTGACTTTTCGTTGGTGCTCTGCATCGGCTGGTCAGCGCCTCTCTGCCCCGGAAGCTACCGGATTTGGCATCACAACAGTCAGATCTACCTTTTTTTGCAGTAGGTGATGGGGGCTTGCTGACAAGGCCACTCGAGGTGAGGTCAACGAATGTCATGTCAGGTCTGCGGGCGTAGCATAGGAGGGGGCGATCATTCTGAGGCTTGAGTTGACAGTGATGTGTGCATTCTCAGTTTTGTTCGGCTGGTCTATAAGCCGCTTGTGCTGGCGCAACAACGATGGTTGGCAACGATGGCCCTGCCATGAGCATGGCATTCCATCTGAAATGACTCCATGAGCTTGGCTAGCGAGCAGTGTGAGCTGGTGGACGACGGGCAACTTCACCTGGCTTCGTGGGTGCAGTTCAGTGCCGGCCCTAGGGGTAGACCACGAGGTGCGACGGCCGAGGGCCCAAGCGGTGGAGGGGCCCAAGCCCAGGTATACAAACCCCCAGGTCCTATAGTCCATTAGGCATTAACAAACTAATGAGAAGAGAGACATGGAACTGGTTAGGCGGCCCAAAAAGATAACATTGACATTTCTTTCCTAGTTTCCTTTTCCCACGGCCCCTGGGTAGAGAGGAGGCGAGGAGTCACGCTGCACACAGCACACTCTGATCGTGAGTTCGCGATGTGCGCCTTACACACGCGGAGCTGGCGAGCCGTACCGCCGCGAAGAGCTAGACTACTGGAGACACGAACATGGCGCACGAGGACGGCAACCAAGCAAGGCTCCACGACGACGACATCTTGATTCTTGGCTTCTTACGAATTACGATCACCGATCAGATCAGTTGTTTAGGCCCAATGTATTTTTTCTTTTTATTTTTAATCCAAATAATTATTTGTATAGTATTCCATACTTCTAGTACTTTGTACCCATATAGTCATATTTTTCTTCTAATTTAGGTGTTAGAATTTTATAATATTACCTAAGAAATATTTATCATGGGTGAGAAAAGAAAACGAATATATTGTTTTTTTAATCTACATTGTTCCTCGATAATTACCATATATCTATAAATATATTGCTTAATCTGCATTGTTCCTCGATAATTATCAGACATGTTAAATTAAAAATATATTTTTGAATTTGTTTTCGTTTTGCAAATAAAATTAGTGCCTATATATTATAAGATTTTATACACGGTTAAAAGGACCATTACGACAAAATCGCCAAAGGGCCCTTAAGATCCTAGGGCCGGCACTGGTGCAGTTGAGTTGGTCACGCACGTAGATCTCAGACCACGTGCCATCGTGCTTGCAGGCTAGCTGTTGAGTAGTGGGTGCCTCTCTTTGTGCTGGTATGAGGTGGAATGCGTTGGGCAAGAGCCCCCTGGCAAGTGTTTGTCGTCGTCGCCGCCGACACCTTAGGTGAGGCGTAGTTCCCTTCCTTGGAAAGGTCCATTGAGATGCCTCCCCTCGTCCTAGATGTGGGATTCCTCTGAGGAGGTGATAACGGCGCTCAACGTCACAAAAACACGTCATCTAGAAGATCTTGCACCGCCTTATGCTGGTCTGTGTGGGACGCTTAATGCTTATCTGCAAGCCGTAGGTTTTCGACGAGGCCAAGTTCTTTCGGGTTCACTGCTTGCTTTGCAGCGTGTCTGTGGCTCTTCTAAAGTAGATCAGCAGTGGCGAAGTCGGAGTTGCTTTTGTTGTGGGGTGCAACAAAACTCAACAACGATGACACGATGTGTTCACTTGTTTGGTTGTCTAGGCTTGTTGGGAGTAGGCGGCGACGTGTTAGACGCTTTGGCTGATGTTCGCCGTGAGAAGAACGAAGCTGCTTATTGCTGTTGTACTTATGATAAGTTCGGTAACAATGACACGCTCCCTACCTTTTTTTTAAGGTTGCTTCGAAAAAATTGCAACTACAAAGACCTCGACTATCCAAAAGAGGAAAAAAAACACCAAATCGTTGACGTGCCGTGGCTGCCCATTGGTGCAAATTCATGCAGCCCATGCACACATGTGAGATGTGTGATGTGACCCGCCACCTGCTGCCATGTCAGCTCCTCCAGGCGCTGCGTCGCCATAGTCTCGTAGGAAAGGAGAGACGGCGTGCCGCGCGCCGCGTGCTTACAAAATCTGATGACCCATGCCGTGGTGTATTAGCGTGTCTGATAGTAGTAGCATGCATGGGACGTTGACAACGAAATTAATCAAGTGCAGAGTTTATTGCCGAATCTAGCTACCTAGTCCACCATAATTCTAAACTCGAGCATGCCATGCATTGATTTTAATTACTTTACTATATATACGCGGTCTCTGTCGACCACAGATCGTGTCTGACGACCCCGCAGTCAACATTTCAGAGCCTGTTGAAAGATACTGCTGCACTGCCTTCGTCCTAAAAAAATGTATAATTCTAATTTACTATTTAGTCAAACTATCTAAAATTTGTTAAAATATATCGATCAGTATTTATAACGTGAACAGATATATATTATTAAAATATATCCAATGAAGAATCTTATAATACTTATTTTGGTATCATAAAGATTGGTATTTTTATATATCTGTATTTGGCCAAAATCAAAGTAATTTGATTTGGTACTGTACTAAAATTATATCCTTTTTCTGGATCGAGGAGGGGAGTATAAAATTACTCCACGAGTAGAACAAGCACTAGAGAAAGGGGTGTCTTGTTGGCGATTGTTGCCCCCTCCACGTTCCCAAAGGGCAGAGGGTGGGTGCCTCTCA